ATGAGAAAAAAAGGCTTTTAAAATGTTTTTTCTTTGTCAATGGGGCAAGCCGCCTGAACTTCTTTAAATGTTTAGTGAGGTTGCCCAGCTGGTTTAGGCTAGTTGGGTCAAAAAGAGGAGAAAGGGTCCCCTAAAGGGTTTTTAGCCAAATTTATAAGAGAATTTAAGAGTGGGCCCAGCTGGAAACTTATCATTTCATTAGAATGTTAAAGAAAAATATTTCCAGGGCAGGCGACCTGGCAAACTTGGCTCTTGGCAGCTGCCTGGAGGGGGTGAATAGCGGGAAGAAAAAAATGCCTTCGGGTCCTGCAGGTTTAAAGAGTGCATGAGAGGTCAGACATGTGGCAGGCTGGCAGGCAGGCACACGGCAGGGAGCAGAAAGCTTGAGTAGGGAGGGGGAGAGAGAGGAGAAGGATACAGAGCATTTGTATGTGTTGGATTGAACAGTATCAGAAATCATCCCGAGTAAAGTGAGGAGGAAAGGCAGTGGAAGAGGATAAAGACAGGAAAAAGGATGGAGGACAGCAGACCTTGCAGGCCTATGGCAAAGGAGTGGGGGAGGGGGCGAGATGCTGGTGGTGAGCAGCTGTAGCAGAACCGAGATAGGGAACGGATGAAGCAGGTCTATCATAGAGACCAGAATGCTGTCCGGGAGTGGTGAAAAATCAATGGGAAAGGAGATCAAAAGAAGTAGGCAAGGCAGAGTGTTTACAGTTAGGAGAGCCAGAAAGAGGTGAGAGCAAAGCAGAGGGCTGGGGAGAGGAGGAGAGAGAAAAGAAGTGTACCTGAGAGCCAAGTTAGTGCCATTGGAGAAGTCCAGGTGGGTCCCTTGAAGTAAGAACCAGGTTTTGGTACCATCTGATAGGTGAAAAGTTGGCGGAGAACGAGCGAATGGATGATGAGGGGCACTGAGGCACAGATAAAATTCCATCAAAATAGGGTTTATTAGCAAAGGAACACATGGGGCAGATTCCCTTCTGGGCAGGGAAAATGTCTGCCCGGGTCTTGAGCTGGGGTCTTTTAAAAGGGAGGCTTCTGCCTCCTGCAGAAGGTGGAAAGATGTATTTTTTTTAAAGTTGGAGGCGGGGGAGTGGGAGAGCAGGACTGTTAAAACCTGTCCTCTTTAGAGATCAAAGGGGAAGCCTGCTGTGTTGGCCAAACAGCGGAGAAATGTCTGCTTCTCTTGACTTCAAAGACCAAGGTGCTTATCAGCTAGGTTCCCTTTTCTCAGGAGCATGAGAAGTCCTTGGGATCCTGTTGGTGAGGGGACAGGGCTATCTGAACCTTAACACCCCCTAACTTATATTTTGAGACAGGGTTGCTCACTGAACTTGGAACTCTGATTTGGCTAGACTAGCTGGCCAGTGAGCCCAGGGTCCCTCCTGTCTTCTGTCTCCTTAGTGCTAGTATTCAGGTATACTGTGATGTTCATTTGTTTTTCATTTCAGTTCTGGGGATCCAAACTCAGATGTCATGCTTGAGCAGCAAGCACTTTACTGACTGAACCTTTTTTTTTTTTTTTTTTTTTTTTTGAGACAGGGTCTCCTTGTAGCCCCAGCTGGCCTAGAACTTGCTATGTAGACTAGGCTGGCATTCAACTCAGAGATCTGCCTGCCTCTGTCTCCTGAATCCTAGGATTAAAGTCATGCACCACCACCCCCCCACATCCCCAGCAGAACCTAATTTTTGTATTTGTTATTTTGTAATTTTCCCCAAAGAATCCTGCCCCCTTTGCCTTTCCTACTTGTAATCTGCTTTCAAAATAGTAATTATTGTGTTTTCCTATAATCATTTAGTACAGAACCTGCTGTTTAGTAATTACTCAATAAGAATGCAATACAAGTTTTTAGGAATTTCATCTGTAGTTTTTTTTTTGTTTGTTTTTTTTGTGCCATCGGGCATTTATTGTTAGTGACATTTAGAATTCAAAGGTCTACCAAAAGAAGGCTGATTTGGTTTCCTAAGGTGCTTTCCGGGATACCATGGCTGCTCTAGAGCATTTGCTGTCTTAATATGAACATTTGCTGTCTTTTGTTGCTCAGGAACTACCTTCCCTTTGCTTCACTATGATGCACAGATTGTCCTACAGACACAAAGTTGCCATGGACCTTGAGTGCTGACTTTAAAAGATTATTATTTTTATGTCATGATTGTTTTGCCTGCATGTATATATGTATACCACCTGTGTCCCTGGTGCCCAAGGAGGGTGTCTGATCCCCTGGAACTGGAGTTAAAGACAGCAGTGAGTTGCCATGTGGGTGCTGGGAACTGACCCTGGGTCCTGTGTAAGAGCAGCAAGTGCTTTTAACTGCTAGGGCATCACTCCTGCTCACAATATACCTTTTAAAGACGCCTTTTAAAGAATGAAAGATAATTTTTTAATTAGAGCAGTATATTTTTATTGCAGAAAAATAGAAAACAGACATGAACAACCCAAGACCACTACCTAGAGAAAATAATTCAATATATTGATATACTTATATGCTCTGGCTGGCCTAGAACTGATTATATAGACCAGGGTGGCCTTAAACTCAGACCCATTTATCTCTGCTTCCCAAGTGCTGGGATTAAAGTGGTGTGCCACCATGACCTGTCTACACATCTATTTTTTTTTTTTTTTGGTCTTTTTTTTTGAGACAGGGTCTCCCTGTAGCCCCAGCTGTCCTGGAACTCACTATGTAGACCAGGCTGGCCTTGAACTCACAGAGATCTGCCTGCCTCTGTCAAATGCTGGGATTAAAGGCGTTCGCCACCATGCCTGGCCTTACTCTATTTTTTAAACAAAGGAATCATACGGTACATTGTGGGTGTCTCCTAGTTTGAAATACTTTTCAATAATGAAACAATTTTAAAAAGCTCTTGATAGTTGGACATGGGAAAGCAAGTCTATAATCTCAGTACTTAGTAGGTTGAGGCTGGAGGATAGCCATGAGTTTGAAGCCAGCCTGGGCTATGTAGACCCTGTTTCAAAACAAAAATTGAAAAAAAAAAATAACCCTCAAAACTTAACAGTGCAGGAGAGATGGCCCAGTGGTTAAGAGCAGAAACTGTTCTCCAGAGAACTGGAGTTCAATACCCAACAGTCAAGTCGGGCTGCTCACAATGGCCTGTAACTCCAGCTCCTGGTGAGCCAACTCCTGGGGCTTAGACACACACACACACACACACACACACACACACACACACACAATTTTAAAAAATCTGAAAACGAAAAACTTTTGATAAAATTGATTTGTAATCTCTGACAAGAAGCGTTAAGAATCTTGTAATACACACAGGACTAATGTTATTTACATAGATCATTATAAATGTGTATCACATCAATGTAATATATATTTAGTATATGCACACAGAGGCAATATAAACTATGCAGTATAAAGAAGGTGCCATTGCAGGCAGCCTTTTACTCATGATGAGGTGATACCTCTTTGCTGCATAACTCCAGGGGGCAAAATTTCATGTGCTCAGAGTGAATAGTTAACAAAGATGGAGATGAACTCCATCAGTCCTCTGGCTAGATGATGTCACAGGCAAACGTCTCGAAGTTTTGTGAAAGTTTACTTAGGATTTATCAAATAAGAATTTCATGGCTTCTGGTTGTGGGGGGGGAAGCGGGAAAGGACAGACATTTGAAAACCGTAGGGAAGAGACAGCGCCTGCGCAGTTTGCGGGGCTTCGGACCGCCGCGAAAGCCCCACCTTTGGCGACGCGGGGCCTGCTGGGAGCTGTAGTGCGGACCTCGCCATTGCGCGTGCGCCAGGCCCCGCAGGACTCAATTTCCCGGCAGGCAGCGCGCAGAGGCCAGCCGCGGGGAAGCGGTCTGCCGCGCTGCTGCTGGAGTGACCTGGTCGGTGTGGGTACGCGTCGCGGCGATGGCTTCCTTCGTGACAGAAGTCCTGACTCATTCGGGCAGCCTGGAGAAGGAGGATCTCGGCACCCGGATCAGCCGCCTGACCCGGAGAGTGGAGGAGATTAAGGTGCGGGCGGGCGGCCGGCGGGGGCTGTCCAAAGAGGACGCGGGGTTGGCGTATCCCTCCCGCACAGGAGGAGCCGGGGACGGGGGCTGATGGTGGGCAGGAGTGGGATGCGAAGGAAGCGCGGAGAGTCTGGAGCGGTCCAGTGGGCGGTTGGGGACCGGGACCAGAGGCCTGAGACTGTGGAGGAAGGGGCGAGGAGTGGGGTTAGGGTGGACACCAGTGAGCCGGATGGAGAAGACTGAGGAGCCCGGCGGAGCGAGGCTGGGCCTGGTGGGATGACGCGACAGCCGCCCCTACTGTGCCTGCTAATCTACCCACTCCGTTTGTGGGTGAATAGAACAATTCAGGGAGGATTTTGCCATTCTCGAAATTATCATGTAGCCACCTGAATATGTTTATAAAACCTTTTTTTTTTGGTCATTTGGAGACGGTTTCCCTGTAGCCCCAGGTGGCCTGGAACTTGCTGTGTAAAGCAGGCTGGCCTCGATCTCACAGAGGTCCGAGATCCACCTGCCTCTGTTGGGTTTGAAGGCTGTTTATAAAACTCTTAATTCATGCACAGAACTTGAGGTTTGTAGAGTGTTGGTAAGCATGATATTGATACATGCATGGATACATGCATACACCCCCACAGAGTTTCATTTTGTATTGATGTCGTTAGCTGGCAAGCAACATCTTAGGTTGATTTCATTTAAGGTGAGGTGTATCTGCCAGAGCCTGGACTTAGGGAACAAACTTGGCAGGCTCTTCGTAAAAACTTTTTTTTAAGAAAAAATTTATTTTTATTAATTTTGATTACGTGTGTGTGGGTATTTGTACATGAGTGCAAATGCCCCTGATCTGGAATTAACAAGCAGTTGTGAGCCACCTAACTTGGGTGCTGGGAACCTAACTCGGGTTGGGTTCTGCAAGGGCAGTACAAACTTTTAAAAACCAGTGAACCAGCTCTCCAGCCAAAAGTGGCTTCCTAAAGAGTGACTTCCTGAATGTCATGTGTTCATATCTCTGTAAGGAGGCTTTAAGGTTTTCCATTTTTATTGTTGGAGGAGGGCAGGAAGAGGACATTACACCCAGGGCTTCTCTGCCTTATCTAGTCCTAACCTACCTTCCCTATCAGTAGTTTCATATGTGAACTTGAATCTTCAGTCAAATGAGAATTACTTTCCATGCTTCAAGCTGGTGTTTTTGTCCTTTCTCATTCCCAGGTTTTTCTTATTTTGCCATTGCTCCATCTTTCTACCACTTTCAATGTATTTCTGTTTTATTGTTGTTTGTTTTTTGAGGTAGGGTCTTACAATGAAGCCCCAACTGTCCTGGAACTCTCTAGATAGATCAGGCTAGCCTTGAACTCAACAGAGACCCACCTACCTCTGCCTCCCAAGCTCTGAGATTAAAGGAGTATGCGCTGTTGTGCCTGTCTTCTATGTTTTCTTCAGCTTTAATCTCAGATATAGTCTCCTGCCATAATGCCTGGTTTTCTCTGAGAGATGGTCTTTCTGTTTGTACTAGGAGATTTTATAACTCCAGAATATCATATTTAAGCTTAGTATTTTGGTTAATTTAGCAAATAGTATCTTTCCTACCTAAAAGGAAAATATAAATTACTCAGTGTATAGTATTCAATAATTTATTAAGTTGGTTTGAATTAAAGGAGATAATGAAACATAATTTTATTAGTTTTGTTTTTTATTGCATTTGAGTAAAGTATGTCTGTGTCTTTGTGTGTCTGTGAGCTTACATGTGCCATGATGTGTGTATGGAGGTCAGAGGACAACTTGCAGGAGTCAGTTGTGTCCTTCCAGCATGTGGGTCCCTGGATTGAATTCAGGTTGTCAGACTTTGGCAGCAAGGGCCTTCACCTGCTGAGCTATCTTGCCAGCCACTCAAATCATTTTAGAGTTTTAAGATTAGGTCCTAAGGCCAGGTGTGGTGGCACATGCCATTAATCACAGCGTTTGGGAAGCAGAGGCAGGTAGATCTTTATGAGTTCAAAGCAGGCCCAATCTACATAGCAGGTTCCAGGGCTATATAGTGAGACCTTGTTTCACCCTCCACCCCCAAAAACAAATAGATCAGGTCTTAATATTTTGTAGACAAGAAGATAGACACTAATAAATTAAGGTATACAGATTATGGATTTATCTGTTTAGGTATATGATTGAAATTTGTGGACACAGTCTGATTATAGTTCATTGTGAAACTTCTGACTTCACCTTTCTCCTTTCCAGCATTTGTATAAATCTTGAGCGTGATTGGAGTTTGGTAATGGTTGTCTTCCTAAACTTTAATAATGTATGGGACTCTTAAGAATGGGAGAAATGTTTTTGAGAGCAGCCCTTAGCTTGTAGGGCAGAGAAATGGCTGTGGGTAACTGTCATAAAGTTCTCACGTGGACGATGCTTTATGGGAGATGAGCTGTGCATTTTTAACAAAGGTCCTTCCTCATCCCTGTCACCTTGTAGGGTGAAGTATGCAATGTGATCAGCAAGAAGTACAGTGAATTCCTGCCCAGCATGCAGAGCGCACAGGACCTGGTGACTCAGGTGGACCAGCTATCTAATGACATCGACCTGCTGAAATCCAGGATAGAGAGTGAGGTAAGAGTAGTTTGCCATGTCGATTGGGTTTAGGTTTTGTAGGGAGGTGGTTAGCTTCCTAATTTCCAAGACAACTCAGTTCTGTGCAACTTTCAGGACTAAACTTTCCTTATTGGTAAATAGAGATTGAACCAAATGATTTTGGGTGGCTTCAGTTCCAAATTAGAAATCCTATTTCTCAAAATTACAGTTAAACTACTTCCTTTTATGGTATATTTTTGTTATCGTTGTTGTGTTTTGAGACAGGGTCTCATTATGTAGCCCTGGCTGGCCTGGAACTTGCTATATAGACCAGGCTGGCTTGGAACTCACAGAGATCCACCTGCCTCTGCCTCCCAAGTGCTGGAATTAAAGGTGTGCGCCACATTTAAAGGCGTGTGCCACCATGCCTGACCCAAGAGTAATGTCTTACATTCAAATGTCATTTTTTAAATTAAAGAAAATCTTAGGACTTCATTGTTTTATAAGAAAATGAAAACACATAAAGTTTAATTTGGACTTTTGTCTTTTTCTAATTTAAAATGTGTCTTCCCCTCTCTCTTGTTGAGACAGGGTCTTGCTGTGTAACTCAAGATTAGCCTGGGATTCACTGTGCAGCCCAGCGCTTGTGCTCCTACTTCTGCCATCTCAAGTGTTGAGATTAGAGGCTAGAGACCTGTGTTGCTATGCATAACTGCACTTTGATCTTTTAATAGTATTCTCTTAGATCTGCAGCTGTCCTCAATACATTTAAGCTTCAGAACAATGTTTCTTGGATTTGAGCCTTCTGGAAAGTTGGCTTGATTCATTCATCGCCACTGTTCTACTTCTCACGACCATACAGAGGATTCTTGTTCTTGTGCTGTGCTACTTTTGTGGCCTAGTGCTTTACATACTTGAGAGAGTCCGGTATGATTTAGATGTGATGACCATGTGTGCTAGAATGTTATCACAAAAAGAAGTAAGCCAGTCTGGAAACAGATACCTGCTTTATAATAAAAAAAAGATGTACATGTATTATCTCACCAGCATTTTTCCCATGCAGTTTTCTCTTTGTTAAAATAAACAATGGGAAGAAAGAATGCTGGTAGAAATTTAAACAAAGTCCGATCTTTTCTGTCCATTTCTATGTCCATTGTTCACATGATTTGTATCCAGAATCATGGTGTTGAAATTCTCAATGTCCTTATTGATAAAGACATCAAGACTGGTCCCTGTGTGCTAGTTTGTGGTGTTTTTGTTTTTGAGAAGAGGGTCTTATGGAGCCTAGGCTGGCCTTGAGTGGCTATGGAGTGGAGGGTGACTTTGAACTATTAATCTTCCTGCCTCCGCCTTGTAAGTGCTGGGATTATGCCACCATGCCTGAGCCACTAGATGACAGTTAATTATTAAATACAAGAAGCAAACCAGTGTATTTTTCAGAAGTATTTTATAAAACTTGAATCACAAATGAGGAAACCGTTGGTTGCCTTAAAAAATCTGTTTAGCAGCCCATTCACCAATCATTTTGATTATAGAGTTTTTAATAGAAATAAACCCATTGTTCTTTGTATTGTGAAAGATGGCTGGTCTAGGTGAGGTCTTAAATACTTGAACAACAGTAAAAAGAACTGGGAGTGTCAAGCCTTGGGAAGAAGCGCTTTCAATATTTGAAGTCTTGTCATATGGAAGAAACACTCAGATTTATGAAGGAGTGGCATACACCTGCAGTCTTACGATATCGTGTTCAAAACCACTCTGGGCTATCTAGTAAGACCCTGTTTACAAAAAAAGTTTCAAGGGCTAGAGAGATGGCTCAGTTAAGAGCACTGGTTGCTCTTGCAGAGGACCTCTGTTCAGTTCCTGGCACCCACATGGTGGCTGACAACTGTCCATAACTCCAGTTCCAGGAGATCCAATGCCCTCTTCTGACCCCCATGGGCATTGCATGTATGTGGTGCACTTACCACATAGGCAAAAACACTAAATACACATAAAAATAAAAATAATCTGGGCATGGTGGAACACGGCCTTTAATCCCAGCACTTGGGAGGCAGAGGCAGGAAAACCTCTGAGATGGAGGCCAGCCAGGTCTGCATAACAAGATCCAAGCCAACTAGGGCTACAAGAGGCCCTATCTCAAAAAACAGACAGGAAATTTTTTTTCTTTAAGTTTCAAATTTATACCTTACAAAAGAATTAAATTCAGCAGGTAGATGTAGTTTATTCAATCACTTTGTATATTTGTTGAATACTTACACAAAGTACAAGATGATGTTGTCGTTACTGTGACTTCTTCATGTCAGGTCCTGGTGAGTATATAATGGTATGATACAATACTAAATAGAGGTAATCTAGTTAGAGATGGAGTGCGGGAGGCTTCCAGTAGGAAGTAATATCCAAACCAAGACCTGATTGTTAAGTAAGACAATAGGAAGGAAAAGTGTTTGGGCGTTATAAGGGATAGCATTGTAGAGAGGGTAATGGAAAAATGTCACTTTTGGCAAGTACCTTTACCCACTGAATGATCTTGTCAGCCTGGGAATGGGTGTTCTTGTACAGGATAATGCTTTTTATGAACTAGCATTTTGAATTTCAAAATGAATTATACTGTTCTACTGAAGCTTATTAATAAGTTATAGTGTTAATTCCTTAGGTATGGTATGGCTTAAAGTAATTATGCTTTTGATGTATAAATTAGGTTCGACGGGATCTTCATGTATCGACGGCTGAATTTACAGACTTGAAGAAACAGTTGGAAAGAGACTCAGTAGTCCTAAATTTGCTTAAACAACTGCAAGAGGTTAGTAAACTCAGTGGAAACTGTTCTGATGGTGGAAGTTATTTTCTTTATAGTTGGTCTTATATTCCCTGACAAAATGGTGTTTTTTCATTTTAGAAACAGACAGATTTAGAATAATAAGGCATAGAAAAAAATGCCTAATGATTTAAACTTACCTTTTTCAGTTTTCTACTGCCATTGAAGACTATAATAGTGCATTAACAGAGAAGAAGTATGTCCCTGCTGCGCAGTATCTGGACGAGGTATAAATAGTCTCTTTAACGTATGACCAGTTAGTACTTGTTCTGATATATTTTGTTTTCTTTTTATTCTTAATAATTATGTAAGCGTATTCTGATTTTCTTTGTGAATCTAGATTAACTGTTTAACAGTGATTCCATTTTACTGCCAGGCACAGAAATGCTTGAAGTTACTAAAATCCAGAAAATGCTTTGATTTAAAAATGCTGAAATCTCTGAGCATGGAGCTCACCATACAGAAGCAGAACATGCTTTACCACCTTGGGGAGGAGTGGCAGAGGCTGCTTGTGTGGAAGTTCCCGCCATCAAAAGGTGCTGCTGACCTCAGGTGGACTGCTTTGCTTAATCTGCCTGGACCCTTTTGGCCTCAGACTATATTCTGAATATTAGAAGATGGGACAGCTTCACTATTGAGTTATTCATCTGTTAATCTTTATTTCATTTATTAATCTCCAAACTTACCTTTTAATGTGAGCTCCCTTTTTAAAAAGTTATTTTTTAAGTTTTTTATTAGTATATTTTACGCGTAATAGGTTTTATTATGATATTTGCATACATGTGTATAGTGTGTCTTGATCATATTTACCTCCCATTACCTCCCCCCGCCCTTGGTAGTGAGCTCCCTTTGGTATATTGTTTGCTTTAGAGTCAACCTAGGAAGGTATATGTAAAGAATGCATATTTTCCAATGTTGGATTTTGCTATTTAGTGTTTTCAAGGTAAACCTTATAGTCTTACCTGCTCTGTTTACTAGGTCCCCCATGTGCTTTGTATGCATGTCAGGTGTTTTGAAGGAAGCAACATAAAAAATTTTAAATTAGCCGGGCGTAGTGGCACATGCCTTTAGTCCCAGCACTCGGGAGGCAGAGGCAGGTGGATCTCTGTGAGTTCAAGGTCAGCCTGGTCTACATAGTGAGTTCCAGGACAGCTGGGGCTACAGGGAGACCCTGTCTCAAAAAGACCGAAAAGGAAAAAAAAAATTTTAAATTAGACGCTCAGATATGTGGAGAGAAGCTAGTAGGAGTTTGCAACTCTGTTATGATACACTGTACCTGTTAAACCTGTCAGAGTTGGTTGGTGGACTGTTTTTGCTAGAAAAAAAAGAATATGGAAGGAGAGGTCTGAAACTCGGAGCTCACTTTTCAGTCTGCTTTCATTCAGTTATTCTGCACATACTTAGGAAGAATGTATTTTTCTTTTTCAAAGTATATTTTGTTATGTTTTGTGTTTGAGTGTATTGCCTGCATGTGTGTAAGTGTACCTGTGTCATGCAGTGCCACGGAGGTCAGAAGAAGGTGCTGGATCCCCTGGAACTGGAGTGATGGGCAGTTGTAAACCTCTATGTGGGTACTGGGAATCAAACCTTGGTCCTCTGCAAGAGCAGCCAGTGCTCTTAACCACTGAGCCGTCTCTCCAGCCACTAAAAAAAACATTTCTTAAAGGCATATCATCATTTTTGCATTTAATCAGATTCTTTGGACATACCCAAAAATCATTTCCTGTTTTGAAGTGGCACAGAAGTCCTGGATGTTATAATCATGCTTAATATTTGATCTCATTGGAAATACGGTATGATGAAGCTACATTTTTAGAATTCCGAGTAGAGAATGGGCTCTGAGGAATGGAAGTGCAGTCATCTTACATTCCTGAGACAGCTCATATTTTCCCCCTTTTTCTTAGATACCAGCAGTTTAGAATCTTGCCTACAAACGGAGCTTCAACTGTGCACTGAACAGTCCCAGAAAGAGGAGACGACCCCTATGCCACCCATCAGTTCTGTCCTCATGGCCTTCTCTGTTCTTGGAGAACTCCCCACCAAGCTTAAAGCATTTGGTAAAGCATGCAGCCTAGTTTCAGTCACATTCAGTCTCGGAAGGCCTGGCATTAAAGGATGACAAAAAAGATGATAAAACAGTTTCTGGAGAATATTAATGACAGTGTTTGGCTTCATAATTCATCAAAGGGAATTGCCATAAATATCTTTTATATTAAGGTGTGGGTCCTTTTTAAAAAATCCAGTTCTTATCCAGTTATGTATTTTTTAAAGAAAGACTGAAAATGAACGATTTTTATGAAACGTTCCACTGTGGATAAATCAACTTTTACAGAAATCTTGTGTTCTACAACACTGTCGAATAAAATATATATCCAAAAGTATTATTTTTGAATAACTTAAAAAGCTACAGATAGGGAAACCTATCGTGGTATTTTTTTTGGCATGTTTAGTCTTCAGAAGCTTCCTCTCGTGATGATTCTTTTTTTTTTTTTTCAGTTCTTGAGACAGGTTTTTGTTCTTGTCAAGTTTTTTGTTTTGTTTTTTGTACTGACAGGTTTCTTGTGTAGTGTTTTATTTTGATGCGGTTTTCTGGTGGGTTTTGCTGAGTGTTCTTGTATGATTTTCAGGTCAGATGCTGCTGAAGTACATCCTTAGGCCTCTGGCATCTTACCCATCCCTCCACGCTGTGATCGAAAGCCAGCCGAATTCAGTTACTATTCGCTTTGAGTCTCTGATGACGGACTTGGAGCATCCGTCACCATCTGAGGTTTTTGCAAAGATCCGAATGGTACTGGAAGTGCTCCAGAAAGAGCTTCTAGGTGTGTATCCCCGAAGCAGCGCTTTCATTATTTGGAAAAGTGCATATTGTTTTTACAGGTAATATTATTTTAAAGTGACATGATATGATTATGAGTGAAGGGAGGAAGCAGTAATTACATTCTTACTTCTTCCCTCTTTCTTTGCCCTAGATTGGCAAGTTGGGTCATTAGTGAGCTCAGATCCTGCATTTATTATTTTATAACATATACTATTTTAGTTGGAGTCTGGGATGCACTTCTCTTCAGACTTCTGATAACGTACTTCAGAACTCTCAGATTAATTACAAGAGAAGGAGTGAGCCAAACAAGTGCTGCTTTATATATTTCCACCATGGGAAAATTCCCATTAATCTGATTCAAATAAACTGGGTTGAATATTGGAAGTAAATTACATTTCAACTTGGCCTTTTGGTAGATCTTATATTTATATTACAAACAGCTTGTTTTTGTGCTTTGAATCAAGTTTTGTTTTTGTTTTTTGTACTGACAAGTTTCTTGTGTAGTGTTTTGATGCTGTTTTTAGTCTGTTTGATTTACATTCTTTTTGCTTTTCTCAGTAGTATTAGGGAGTGATCCAGCAAGCGTTCTTGCTCTGAAATAAACATGAAAAGAAAAAAAGTTGCTCTTGTTCATGGGTCTTCCTAACAGTCAGATATTGTTTAATTATGTATAAGTGATTTAGATGTAAAGCAAGGAATTCTTTGCATAGCTTAGATAGGAGGAGAAATCTAAACATTGTGTAAGCTGCAAAATCCAAAATTACAGGTGTGTACTACGATGTTCATCTCCCAAGGTAGTTTCTGTTTTGTTTTTGAAATAGGTTTTTGTTTGTTTTTTGAGACAATCTCTCAGGCTGTCTTGAACTCATGTGTGGCTCAGGCTGGCCCGGAACAGTGATTTTCTGCCTCGTCTTCTCAGTTGCTGGGATAATGGGTGAACAGCCATGCCTGGCTGAGAAATGCACCTTATTAGAGATACACAGTTAGAAACAAAGGATTCAAGAACTGGAAGCGTTGAGAGAGGTCTCTCAGTCCACATATCTCTGATGTCGGATCTCCTCTCAACAGTCCATCAGTTGGTCAGATCAGCCACTCTACATGCCTTAATGAGAAGGAGCTCACTCTTAAGTATTCCATCCAACTTTGGGCCAGTTCTCAGTAACCTGGAAAGTTTTTGTTTTGTTTCTTATGTATAGTAAATATTAGCAAAATGTATATTTCACAAATTCAATCTTTTAGGGTAGTTGTTGAAAAAGTTTGTTAGAAATGTATTACTCTGTACCGTGTTATTTATGTTCTAGAGAACCATCCAGAACAAGTCAAGTATCTGTTATACATGGTAGATTTTAAGATTTTTCCATTTTCTCACCATTGAATATCCTTAGTTCATTTTGAATGAGTGTGTGTGTGTGTGTGTGTGTGTGTGTGTGTGTGTGATATGCTGGGAATTGAACCAAAGGCCTTGTGCGTGCTAGGCAAGTACTCTACCGCTGAGCTGTATCCTCAGCCCTCAAATGATCATTTTAAGTTCCCCTTCTGGTCCTGCTCTTGGTGTGGGTAGTGGGTGCTTTCTGCAGCCTCTCTCCTTACCTCACAGCCTTCTTGCTGCGATTCATCTCATTTTCTCAGCACACTCTCATCTCTGGTGTCTTCACTTTGTGTAAGGAGAGCAGTCATATTGGATCAGGGTTCAATCCTGGGGGACACAATGAAGTCCTTAGCAAGTGTGTGCATTTGACAGATTCACACACACACACACACACACACACAGACACACACACATATGAAAGCACAGTCCAGTATGTGGCTCATCCCTGTAACCTCAGAACCCAGGAGGCTCAGTCAGAAGGATCTCTGTGAATTCCAAACTAGCCTGGGCTACAGAATGAGACCCTGTCTCATTTCCACATTACCTCCACCCCAAAACAAAACAAAATACAAACTACATTCTCATTTTAGATTTTTTGAACATTTTTCAAGCATTCCTTTAGTTTCAATAAAAACGTGAAACTAACAGTGCAGTAAATCTTTCTGAAACTTTTGTAACTTAATTTCTAAGCATTGGCAAAGAGCACAGCTTTTGCATCATACAAACGGAATGATTTTAACTGTATTCATTCCACTTTTCATAGTATTTCAGAAAAAACAGCGCACAAAGATGCCATGTGGTGTCACACAGTGGAATGAAGTAATAAAGGAGTCACCAACATCTTTTCTTTTTTACACATTTTTATGCTGTGTGTGTACACATGTGTGCACACATGTAACAGTGTGAGTGTGGTGAGAGTACACCTGTGGGAGTTGGTTCTCCTGCAATGTGGGTTCTGGGAATTGAACTAAGGTTCTTAGGCTTGGTGGCAAGAGCTTGTACCAGCTGAGCCATCTCATGAGCCCCACTGACACCTTGTGTTAAAATTCTAGTAAGTCTGGATTTCTTTTTTTACTCCATAGCACTGAAGCACTATTGGAATAGAAACTAATGTTTTCATACCTAGTAAACATTCTTTCATGGTAAATATTAAAGATTAAAAATATGCTATGAACTGGGTGTGGTGGCACACACCTCTAATCCCAGTACTTGGGAGGCAGAGGCGGGTGGTTCTCTGTGAGTTCTAGGCCAGCCTGGTCTACATAGTGAGCTCCAGGCCAGCTGGGCTACAGGGAGATCCTGTCTCAAAAAAGACCAAAAAAGTGCTAATTTTTTAGGCTATGAATTCAAGATATTTCCTTATAAATTTGGAAATCCTTTTGGAGAACATGTATCTGAAGTATCGTCTAAAGCTAAAGTATTCATAAAGAGCTTGTTCCTAGTTTGAGATAGTCTTTTATAGCCCAGGTTGGCCTTGAACTTCTGATCCTCCTGCCTCCACCTCCTAAATGTGTCCCACCATGCGCAGTATATGCAGTGCTAGAGTTGAACCCAGGGTTTCATACATGCCAGGCAGGCTCTCTTTACACTGAGCTACATCTCCAACTTGAAGAGTTTTATCTTTTATGGGCAGTATTCTGTGATTACTTAAAGATTCTTTACATTTTAAAATGTGTTTTCCAGGCAGGCGATTATAGCTCAGTGGTAGACTGCTTGTTTAGCATGCATGAAGCCCTAGATTCAGTCCCTAGAACTGGGAAACAATATACCTCCCAAACAAAAACAAAACCCCCAGTCTGGGGGATGGAGAAATGGCTTAGCAGTTAAGAACACTGGCTGCGCTTGTAGAGGACCTGAGTTTGGTACCCAGCACCCACATTGGGCAGCTCACAACTGACTCACTCCAGCTTCAGGGGCTATGACACCCTCTTCTGGCCTCCATAGGCACTTGCACACATGTGTGCACATTACCTACACACACATACACATAATTAAAAATAAATCTTTTCTTTTTGCCTTTTTGAGACAGGGTCTCCTGTAGCCCAGCTGTCCCGGAGCTCACTATGTAGACCAGGCCTTGAAGTCACAGAGATCCGCCTGCCTCTGCCTCCCGAGTGCTGGGATTAAAGGCATGCACCACCACACCTGGCCAATAAATATTTTTAAAAACCTAAACCCTAAAAACATTTAAATGTCTTCCTTATAATTTATTAATAAATTTAATAAAAATAACAATAGATCCTTTTTCCATCTGTCTATCCAAAAATGATTTTTCTCTTTGTGCAAGAATCCATTTTGTAGCTGGGCATGGTAGTGTACGCCTTTAATCCCAGCACTCGGGGTGCATCTCTGAGTTCAAGGCCAACCTGGTCTGCATAGTGAGTTCCAGGCCAGCTGGGGTTACAGGGAGACCCTGTCTCAAAAAGACCAACAAAATAAAAACAAACAAAGAATCCATGTTATAACTGGCCACACATTTCTTACTGACCTTTGATTTGAGGTGACTGATTTGGGCAGTTTGTTTACAAATACATTTCTTGAAAATGTTTCATATCTTAAGAATTTGTATTTATACAATAAGCAAATAGCTTTTGAATTCTACTTCATTATAGCAGATTGTATCTACATTCACTGTGGAATTTGTGACTTTTTTTTTCTTTTTAAGATTTATTTATATTTTATGTATAGTAGTGTTTTGCCTGCATGTACATATGAGCACCATGCATGTACCTGGTGCCCATAAAAGAAGAGGGCATTGGATCCCCTGGAACTGGAATTATAGATAACTCTGAGGGAACTGATCTTGGGTCCTCTGCAAGAGCAGCAAGTGCTCTTAACTGCTGAGCCATCTCTCCAGTCCCATTTCTGTTTTTGTTTTTTTTTTTTTTTTGTCTTTTTGAGACAGGGTCTCCCTGTAGCCTCAGCTGGCCTGGAACTCACTATGTAGACCAGGCTGGCCTTGAACTCACAGAGAGGTCGTCTGCCTCTGCTTCCCGAGTGCTAGGATTAAAGGCGTGTACCACCATGCCCAGTCCGATTTCTGTTGTTTTTTGAGACAGTATTTTATTTAACCCAGGTTGGCCTCAAATTGTGATCCTCTTGCTCAGCCTTTTGAGAGCAGGGAATATGAGTGTCACACCATGCTTAGCTTGGACTATTGGCTTTTTCCTTTTAAATTTATTATTATTTATCAATTAAATAAATATTAAATAAAATTTATTATTAATGCATGTACACCTGTGTGTCTGTGGAGTTCAGAGGACAGCTTTGTAGCTCTATCCGTGTATGTCTCTCTGTGTGCCTGTGGAAGTCAGAGGACAGCTTTGTAGAGTTGGCTCTATCCTTCCAACTTTTTGTGGGTTCTAGGGATCGAACTCAGATCTCCGAGCTTGCAGAGCAAGCTCTTTTATCCCCTGAGCCATTTAGCTGGTTGAGGCTTCTATTTATTAGTTACATGATTAATACGATATTTTAAATATAAATGCTTTCAAAGTATGGTGCAAAAACCAACTGTGAGATGACTAAAGTGGAGCTGCTGACATGAGCTTGGCAGACTGGGCAGTGCTGCATGTGATGTTTGTTGGTGCTGTGCTTAGTACATCCGCTAACTCTTTAAATACAGATGGGAAAGTACGGCTTTAAAAAAATTAATTTTTGTTTTTTTATTGTTAAAAAGTGAGATTTTGTTTCAAACTAGTTTTAACGTTGGATGCATGGTCTCTGAGTGCTTGTCATATAATCAGACTCAGCTTAAGAGTAGATGATTGCATGGTGGTAGGTGGTGTAATCTTTATTACAGAATACAGGCAACAAGACAAGTGGGCAGGATTCATTTGAGCAGTGAAAATAGAATAATCATAATTGTCATGCATTGTCACAGTCTTGAAACGGCTGTAGAATTACCTGCGTTTTCTTTCCCATCTTAAAATTTTATGATTTAAAGAAACTAGGGAACTTAATGTATCAGGACTGTGAATAGTTTCTTGTTTAAAACTTTCTCTTGAATTTAGATTTGCCTCTTGACATTGAACTCGAAAATGAAAAAACACCTGCGCTCATGTTGGCTGAAATGCTTGGCGATGTGATCTGGGAAGAGCTGTCTGAGTGCCTCATCAAAAACTGCTTGGTTTACTCCATTCCGACAAACAGCAGCAAGCTGAAGCAGTATGAGGAGGTAGAGAGAAGTGGCTTTAGGACCCTGGAGTTTTCCTTGAGGATCTTTTGTTCCTACATTACACCCTTAAGACAACTACTAAAAAGGAGCAGAAACAAGTTCTCTGTAACTTCATTTCTCTTTGAGGAAGTATATCTTCTTATTAAATATATTTTTTTTACATCTATATCATGTGTAGTAGCTCTTGTTTGCTTGAATGCTAAAATAAGGATATTATTTGCCCCTTTACCAGAGATGGGTAATTCTGTTGAAGATACTTTTGCAGTACTGTTGGGAGACTGCGCAGTGTTTTTAAACCTAGTAATTGCCTGTGATCTAAGTGACCATCTTGGTTCTCACTTTTTATTACATTTGGTTTGAAATTTAAAAAAAATATTTTTTTTATTTTATGTGTATGAATGTATTGCTTGCATGCATTCAAGTGCACCTGTGTTATGCAATGCCTGCAGAGGTCAGGAGGGCATTGCATCCCCTGGACTGGGGTTATAGGCAGTTGTTAGCTGCCATGCTGGGAACCAAACCTGGGTCTTCTGGAAGAGCTGCCAGTGCTTGTAACTGCTGAGCCATCTCTCCAACCGCCATGGATTGTAGTTTCTGAGCGATGTCCTGGAACCAACCCCCTAAACATACTGAGGGATAACTGTATCTAATTCTTTTTTTTTTCCTCATGTCCTTCTCTGTCAGATCATACAATCTACTGAAGATTTTGAAAAGTCCCTAAAGGAGATGAGATTTTTAAAAGGAGATACTACCGATTTGCTGAAATATGCTCGGAATATCAATTCTCATTTTGCTAATAAGAAGTGCCAGGATGTGATCGTGGCAGCCAGAAATCTAATGACATCTGAAATTCACAACACTGTACAGGTACCAGGGCTTTATTATGTTGTGAACGGGAAGTGGCTCATTTTTGCGACGTGGTAAAGTAGAAAGGAGTGACGGTGGCTGAGCTCCTGGAGACCCAATAACTCATCTTTGGAGCATTTGTTTTACCCTCTTTAAAGTGGTCCCCATATCACCTTCTTTGAGTATTGTGAAGTCTAGGAAAAATAATACATGTGAAAGAAACTCTAAATGGAGAAAGTGTAAGTACAGTGGGTTGCTGTTTTTGAAATCAAGCATAGATTATTCTCGTCTTCATTACTTGAGGTTTTAGTGCACAACTTTGTGATGATGTTTGGACTTTATTATGCCCAGAGATTGTATCCTGCAGGAAGAAGTTAGCTGCTGGGCATCTGCACACATACGTACACATAAATAAAAATAAGTGTTTCTAAGCAAAGAGGGGTGGTTATAATCAGTTTCTTACAAGGCAGTGAACTGATTAATGTACATGAAGAATAATTCATTCTTTGACCTTTGATAATTGTGTGCTTTTTAAATATACATATATAAAACAATATTTGGTAAATGTCAGGAATTACTTGAAGCAAAACAGACTAAGGCAGTCTACCGGCAGATTTCCCAGCCATTTTTTTTTGTGTTTCTGAGGTGCTGGACTCTATTTTTTTTAAAAAAAACAAGATCTCCCTACCCTCAGCCTGCCTAGAACTCAGAACTCTGTATGTAGACCAGGCTGGCCTTGATCTCATAGAGATTCACCTGCCTCTGCCCCCCACATGATGGAATTAGACCGTCACCACACCACCTGGCTCCCCCCGCCCTTTTTTATTTAAGCTTTATTCCTGTGCGTGCATGTGTGTCCAAGTGAGTGTCAGCCATGTGTGTGTGTGCTTACATGGCCAGAAGAGGATGTCAGATCTCCTGGAATGGAGAGCTGCCTGTTTTGGGTGCTGGAACTGAACCTGGATCTGTAAGAGTAGCAATTGCGCTTAATCATTGAGCTATCTTGGCTCCTAATTTTTTTTTCTTAAGTGACTGTTTTCTTACTCAAAAGATCATAATCCCTTCCAACCATACCAGGGGAATGAAGTGCTCCTAACAGGTACTTGGGAAGTGAGTTTGGCAGTCATAATTGGTTTGAGATGACCTGCTATATCAGTCTTGCAAAACTCCGTGTTCTTCACTGTAGGTGTCAATTTTTAAATTCCTTAGTTTAGTCAAGGTGCTTACTTTATATTTCTGACCAAAGCACATAAAAACCACGGTGGACCCAAAGCTCCGAAGAGACTGCCTGGAGGCCCAGGCTCTCCGCTCCATCCAAGCATGCATGAATTGGTGAGCTCTGTTGTTGGAGCAGCACTGTAGGAAATGGAGAAGCAGTTCCAAAGTAGCTCTTAAACGTTAGCTCCATAATAAACATATCCTTATAACTAAAGCTAGATTGTGTTCCCTGTAGATAACATTCATTTATAGCTCTAATGCTGAAAGAGCTGCCTTTTAATGTGGCAAATGATTTAGATACTGAAGCCCTAGGTTTCTGAGAAAAACTTTAAACAAAACATAGACTATAACAGTATCCCAGAGGCAACAAAATCTCATTGTGCTAAAGCATATACAAGTTAAGGCTTTGACTTACAATACTTCTAAAATTATGTTAAAATATTTCCAGCAAATTACTTATAGTTAAGATTCAGTAGGTCAGGCATGGTGGCCCAGACCTCTTATCCCAGTTTTTGGGAGGCTGAGGCAGAAGGATCATGAGTTCATACTAGCCTGGGTTTACATAGTAAGACCCTATCTCAAAACAAAAAGAATCACTAGTAATACCAGACTTGAGTTTAAATATTATGCATCCTTTTATTCAACTTAGCATACTTAGCTGTAGTAAGAAAGATAACTGTAATGATTTCTTCCTGAGTTACCACTTGCAGTGTTTAAACCAGTCAAGGAACAGGGTGGTATAGCATCAAAGGGTTAATGGGTGGGATCTTGAGAGGATCTTGTTACAGAGACTTTGGGTGTGTGGGAGGGTATGAGACAGGGTCTTCCTGTAGTCCCAGCTGGCCTGTTACTATGTAGACAAGGCCAGCCTCTGTCTCAGAGATCCTCCTGCCTCTGCCTCCTGAGTGTTGGGACTGAAGGTGTATGCTACCATGCCCCGCCCCTTTTTATTTTTTTATTTTTATTTTTATGTGTATGAGTGTTATGCCTGCATGTATGTACACGCACCCATGTTGTGTAGTGCCTGCAGGGGCCAGAAGTGGGTGTTGGATCCCCTGGAACTGGAGTTACAGACATTACCATGTGGGTGCCAGGATTCAAACCTGGGTCCTCTGTAAGAATAGCCAGTGCTCTTAACTGCTGAGCCATCTCTCCAGCCCCTGATTTTTTTCTTTTTAAGTAGTCTGAATTATTTTCTTTTCCCTTTTCCCCTCCCCGCCCTCCTCTTTCTCGCTTTTGTTTTTTCTTTAAAAAAACTTTTTAAGTCAAGGTCTCACTGGATAGCCTTGCCTGGCCTAGAACTTAGTACTGTGCAGACTAGGATGACCTCAAACTCACTGAAAGCCAGGATTATAAAGGCTTGTGCTGTCACAACTGGCCTTGAATTAGCTTTTTCTTAGACTAAATTTACACCTGTACCTGATGTAATTTGTTAGTAGTTAATAGTTATACTGGCTTTGATAATCCCATTGTTTATTTTGAGAAAGATGATATTTGAAGGTGTTTTCAGTTACCCCAAAGCTTTGCTTTTTCAAGATTGAATGCTTAGAAGAATTCCACAGTAAACGAGTATGCCAATTTCTCAGTGGCATGTACTATAGCCCTTCTAATTCCTCCGGGAACCACAGCTTTCATCAGCATGGAAGCAGTGAGCGCCTTTATTTTTTGCTGTATGTGTACATTTGAATTATTCTGCCACACCTCATTTCTGTATTTGAATCTTAGATTACTCCTGATTCTAAGGTAAGTCTGCCAGACTTACCCAGTCCTGATGTGGATAACAAGCTAGAAGTACAGACGGCGTGTAAAACGGAGTTCAATGAACCTGTGAACTTAGAGCATGAAAATTCACTGGACCCTCATTCCTTTTCTTTACCCACGTGTCGCATCAGTGAGTCTGTGAAGAAATTAATGGAGCTTGCCTATCAGACTTTGCTAGAGGCAACAACTAGTAGTGATCAATGGTAAGCCTTCCGAGCTGCCTAAACATGGCAGTAACTTGGTGTAAGGTGTATTGTGAAAATTATCTCTAATTTGGGGTTTTGAGTCTTTTTTGAGACGGGGCCTCACTCTATAGCCCTGACTACCTTTAACTGTGTCTGCCTCCTGAGTGCTGGTATTAAAGCCATGTACCATTATGCCCAGCTCTATTAATATTTTTTTCTAGAAAGACAGTGCAGTACAGATAAAGATTGCTCTTTAACTTTTACTTACAGTAACAGAGATGTTGAACAAGGTGTAAAAACCTGCTGGGTGCATTGGCTCATGTTTATAAACCTAGTACTGGGAAGGCTGACATAAGGAGAATTGTGAATTTGAGGTAGCCTGGCCTAATTAGCAAGGTCCAGGCCAGCTTGGAGTCATAATAAAACCCTCTGTGGCCGGGCGTGGTGGTGCACGCCTTTAATCCCAGCACTTGGGAGACAGAGGCAGGCGGATCTCTGAGTTCAAGGCCAGCCTGGTCTACATAGTGAGTTCCAGGACAGCTGGGGCTACAGGGAGACCCTGTCTCAAAAAGACCAAACAAAACAACAACAACAAAAAACCCTCTGTTAAAAAGCAAATAAACAAGACCCAGAAAAGCAGAACAAAACAAAAAAAGTAGATGCATCCATATGGGTTGATAATATGTAGGTTTATTTGACATGAAAAATTAATTACTTTTTAGTAATCTACTTTTTGTTTAGTTTTTGCTGTCTGTGATAAAAGTAATAATGTTACATAAGAAAGCACAGTGGCGGGCTGGAGAGATGGCTCAGTGGTTAGGAACATTGACTGTTCTTGCAGAAGACCCAGATTCAAATCCCAGCACCCACATGGCAGCTAACAACTGTCCGTAACTCCAGTTCCAGGGGATTGACAGCCTCTCCTGTCCTCCCCGGGCATTATATGACGTGGGTACACTTACCTACATGCAGGCAATACACACATACACATAGCCAGGCGTGGTGGCCCATGCCTTTAATCCCAGCACTTGGGAGGCAGAGGCAGGTGGATCTCTGTGAGTTCAAGGCCAGCCTGGTCTACATAGTGAGTTCCAGGACAGCTGGGGCTACAGGAAGACCCTGTCTCAAAAAAAAAGTTAAATATTTAAAAAAAAAAAAAAAAAGCACAGTGGAAGGATGTAGAATACTACCCTAAAAATGATTAATGCTCAAATGTTTATTATTGAGCAGTAGTTATATCATAAATGATAGCACTGTGTGGGGCCTGCTAGAGCTGGAGGGTCTGAGAACCTCCCCTCTCAGCTCACTGCACAGCATGCTGGGGAAGGAGAGTGTTTTCTTTGGGGCTGTGGCTATTGAGGTTGTCCATTCTTCAGGGCATGGCCCCACACCCATGCGTATGGGCAGCACTAACAGGACCCAGTGAGTTCTACACAAAGAAAAGAGGATTTGAAGTTGAGAGGGGGTATGCTGAGGACATTGGTGGGAGGAGCTAGGGGAGTGGGTAAGGTCCAGATACATTGTGTACATGTATGGAACTGTCAAAGAAGAAATACTAAAATGTAGTTACCCTATATTATGCTCCAACTTGTTCTCTTGGCCTTTTATCTTTTGTCGGTTTGTTTGGTCTTTTTTTTTTCCCTGCCTCTGCCTCCCAAGTGCTGGGATTAAAGGCCTGAGCCACCACACCCAGCATTACCATGGTTATTTTTTAAAAATATTTTTTATTTGTCCATTGATAGTTTCATACTTAAATAATGTGTTTTGGTCATATACACCGTTCAGTAGCTTGTTAGCACCCCCTACTCCTTTTGAACCCTTTTTCCCAACTCGTCTCCCTCTTGCTTCATGTTTTTTTTTTTTTTTTTTTTTTTTCCTGTGACCCTCTGAATTTAATTAGGGCGCTTGTGTAAGTACAGGTGTGGAGTTACTGACTGGAGCAAGGGCAGCTTACTAGTAGCTGTGCCATTGAAGAGAAATGACCCCCCACCTTCCCCTAGTAGCCCTTAACTGCTGCTGGCTCCTCAGGGAAGGTGGGGCCTCAACAGCCCTTCCACCATCCATGCTGGAATGTTGATGGGCTTGATTTGTGCAGGTCTTGTGGCGTTAGCCACAGCTGCTGTGAATTCATGAGGGCAGTGGTCATGTCATGTCCAGAAGATGGCATTTTAGAGTGTTCCTCCCCATCATCTGGCTCTTGCGTTCTTTCTTTCTACCCCCTCTTCCATGGTGCTGTAAAATGATTTAAAAAAAAAAAAATTTTATTGAGCTTTTAAAATTTCATACGATATTTCTCACATCCAGACTCCCCAATCCATGCCTCCCCCTCCCCCAACAAACCCTACGCACTCTGCTATACATGCTGAAGGAGTAATTATTTGTTAAGCACTCAAATGTGGAAAGAAAAGAATGGAGCATATCACAGATCTGGCTTCACCCTTTTAAGAAGGCTTCTTCTAATATATACTGTGTTCGGGGTACCCCGTTATTTCACATCCACTGAATCTCTTCCCTGCTCTTTAAGAAGAAGCTCCTGCCAAATCCCAACACTCTGGGTGGCAGAGGCAGGCGAATCTCTGTGAGTTCAAGGCCAGACTGGTCTACATAGTGAGTTCCAGGCCAGCTGGGATTATAGGGAGACCCTGTCTCAAAAAGACTAAAAAAAAAAGCAGCAGCAGCAGCTCCTGAGAAGAAAATGGCAGATGAGCCAAAGGTGACTGCGGAGCCGGTCTATAAAAGCCTGTTGAGTTTGAATCTGTGTTTAGCCATTTTTCACTCCTCATCCTCATAGTAGAAAACAGTTTGACTTTGGGCTTGACTTAGTCGTATCCTCAGATCTGCAGTTTGTCTCCATGTGTAAACACCCCTTTGATTTAGGTTGCTGTAGACAGAATATGTAGTATTAATTATAAGTAGAAAGAAAAATACACATTATTTTGTGTGCATGTGGGGTGTGTGTGTGTGTGTGCATGTCATGGTGTGCACACAGAGGAGAGGACTACTTTGTGGAGTGGGTTCTTTTCTTCCACCTTTATGTGGGTTCCAGGAATTGAACTTGGGTCACTAGGGTTATGTAGCAAGTGCCTTTACCTGCTGAGCCATCTTACCAGCTCTGTGGAAAATACCTGTTTCTTTATAAATGAAGTATATGCTCTCTTGGCAAGATAAACATAGTAGTCACTATTTCCTCATGTATATCAGATCAGAAGGTAGGGATGCATGGCAGTATTTAAATTTTTTCTTTTGAGAAAACAAATGCCAAACACTGTTTTTGTATACTGGATGCTTAGAGACATTTATTCCACTTGTAAAAAATTTTTTAAAAATGTTATTTTTATTATTTCTAGATATGTGTGTCTGTGTCTGTATCTTTGTCGGTGTGTGGCTATGTTTACCATGAGTACAGGTGCCCTCGGAGGCCAGAAGCAGTACATCTCCCTGGAGCTGGAATTACAGGCAATTGTGAGCTATCTCTCCAGCCCTTGGTTACGGTCTTTAACAGACAAGGAAGACATGTGCCCTTTTACCCATTATCAAATTTTAAGTGACAATATATTAAATCAAGATAAAATACATTAATTTGATTAAATATTATGGTAACTAGTAACTGCTGTGTTTTGGAGCCACCATGATTTATTTTTCTAAATATTAGTGGAATTTCTCTGAATTATTCAAGGTGCATAGGTTAAGATACTGTTATATGGAGTTTGGAGTTAGATGACACAAATCTTATATTTGCTCTCTTTTGATGTTTATTTGATTTTTTTGAGTGAGGTCTTACTCTGTAGCCCAGGTTGTCCTGAAACTTGGGTCCTTCCTCCTGTCTCAGCCACTGAGTGCTAGATTACATATATTTGATCTTTTGAAGTTCATTTTGGTTAAAAGGTTTTTTTCTGCCCGCCTCTCAATGTTCCCCCCCAAACTCCCTGAGGGGTCTTGTGTATGCTGGGCAAGCTCCACCACTGCTGTATCCCCTGTCCCTTAAATGTATCTTAATAATAATCTTTAGGTGGGTTGAAGACCATATTTAAAGGGCAAAATTCTTGAAGGCTAGATTCTGTCTTAGAAGATGTTGATTCATCTCTTTGCATTGGGGAAGAAGGTGAAGAGGTGAAAGCTGAAAGTCAGACCAGTTCTAAAAGACCTGAGTGAGTGCCTTTATTGATACCGTGCCCTTTGCAGAATGCATCGTAAGTAGGTGACATTTGCTCGAGGCTTAGCTCCATTTGCTACTGAAGGATACTCTGTACCGGCAGGGCACACACGGATAAATGGGAAGGAGGCCTTGGGTTGAATGCTGCTGTCTGAAAATTCTTAGTATATCCAGGTTTTTAGAAATGAAGTTCAATTTTGTTAGTAAATACTAGTTGAATATATTTCCATCGAGATTCATGGTGCTTTCCAGCACTGACCAAGCAGCTGTAGGTTAATAGATGATCTTCACTAAAGTATACCTGGTTTAATTTTTTGATGCATTTTTCTTAAATACTTGCTTTATTTTCAGTGCTGTCCAGCTTTTCTACTCAGTGAGGAATATTTTCCATTTGTTCCATGATGTTGTGCCAACATATCACAAGTAAGTATCTCCTCTCTATATGCTCTCTTAAATGCTTGACACTTTATATGTCCACCAAAGATATTTACTAAAATTCAAAATAAAAATGCAGCAAGCTAAGGTATTTACAAGGTTATAAACATTTACTATTAATAAGGGCACAGTAATCTTGCAGTATATTAGGAAGCACAAATTAGAAGCTCAGAGGACTTTGTCCAGTTTTTAGTGCCTAGGCATTTTCAGAACTGCCTTACTTTTTGGTTAAAAAAAATTCACAAAGGTCGACATTCCATATTGCTTTCTCCCTTGGCATTTGTGGTTCTGCAGACGACATGCCACACAAAGGTAGTATGTCATTGTGAAGGTTGGTCAGGCACTCATTTTAGCATCAGCCTGTATTAACCTGATGTCTTGAGTTTTAAAGGTTTCTTTTAATATTAATTTGAAAAGTTACTCAGCTCTGAAGCCTCTAGTTCTTTTTCTGTTAATTCAAATGGAATGTTCTGGAAGATTTTTATAAATGTTTTAGTAATATGTTAGCAAAGCTATTCCATAGCTAAGGGCTCTGCTTTCTTTTTTTAAAGATCTGTTTTATTTTTATTTATGTGCATCTGTGTCTGTGTGTGTTAAGTATACATGCATGTGGGTGCCCATGAAAATCAGAAGAGGGCATTGGATCCCACGAAGCTGGAGTTACAGGTAGTTGGGAGTTGCCCAATGTGGGTGCTGGGAATTGGACTTGGGTTCTCTGGAAGAGTGGTATGTGCTCTTAATTGCTGAGCCATCTCTCCAGCCCCCTTAAGGACTCTTTCTGCTTTCAAAGGAAATAAAAATTGAGTGTATTACTTGAAGTATTTTTTTAGTTTAGTGTTTTGAATAGTTCAGATGATTTAAAAAAAAAAAAAACATTTTTAGGGGGCTGGAGAGATGGCTTAGCGGTTAAGAGCACTGGCTGCTCTTGCAGAGGACCCTGGGTTGATTCCCAGCATCCACATGGTGGCTAACAATCATATGTAACTCCAGTTCCAGGGGACTCTGACACCCTCTTCTGATCTCAGCGGGCATTGCATGACATAGGTGCACTGTACACATGCAGGCAATGTACTCATACACATAAAAATAAAAAAATAATTTATTTTAAAAGTGTGTGTGTGTGTGTGTGTGTGTGTGTGTACACACACATGTGAGTACAGGTGCCCAAGGAGACTAGAAGAGGGAATCTTACCCGCTGGAGCTGGAGTTACATAGGCAGTTGTGAGCCACCCAGTGTTGGTGCTGAGAACTGAACTTGGGTCCTTTGGAAGAGCAGCCAGCATTCTTAACTGCTAAACCATCTCTCCAGCCCTTGAGTTCAGATGATTTTAAAAACTAAGCTTATTAGCCAGGCGTGGTGGTGCACTCCCACCTCTTGGGAGGCAGAGACAGGTGGATCTCTGTGAGTGTGAGGCCAGCCTGGTCTATATAGTGAGTTCCAGGACAGCTGGGGCTACAGGGAGACCCCGTCTCAAAAAGACAAAAAAAAAACAGCAACAAAAAACCCCCCTAAGTTTATGTGTTATTTCTATTGTAAAAGAGAGCTCATTTATTGTAAACATTTTTATATGTATTCTCTCTGCTGTGATTTAAAATTCTTATCTCACTTTATTTAATGGTCAAGCAGAAGAAAAGTGAAAACCATTCAGATGGCCTTTCCTTAGGAATTCAGAAACAGTTGACTTGAAGGTTCTGTGGCTCAGGAACATTTCCCACTGCTATGGAATTTGCTCTTTTCCCTTTGTATGATCTTGCCAACTTTGTGCTACACCACTTCATAAATTTTTCTTGTGCGTTAGAATCACCTGGAAATCTTGCTATGCTGGATCTCAAGCCCACCATTCAGTGGAGTTGGGATTGGAAGACCCCTCCCATCCCCCCCCCCCCCATCTTTAACAAGTTTCTAAGAGCTGCTTATGTTGCTAGTCAAGGGAGCTGTTGAGAGCTTTGAGAGCTGTTGTCTCAGGTTATGGCTGTCAGCTTTGGTATTATTTTAAAATCACTTAGGGACCTTCCCAAGTAGATATATTTGTCTAAGCCCTGCCTCTAGAACTGGTGTAAGACTCATGTATTTGTGGGATTTTTTTTTTTTTTTCTTTTCTTTCCCTGAGTCCCACAAATGATTCTTTTTGTGAATGTGTGAGGAGGCTAGAGGACAAACTTGGATATTGTTCCTCAGGAGACCTAGGTTTTTGTTGTTTGTTTGTTTGAGACAGGGTCTCATTATGTAGCCCCAGCTGACCTGGAACTCAGAGATCCTTCTACCTCTGAGATTAAAGGTGTGTGGCCCTATTTGTTTGTTTTTTTAAAACAAGTTCTCTCATTGGCCTGATGCTAGCCAAGTAGATGAGGCTGAGCCCCAGGGATCCTCCAGTCTCTGACTTCTCAGCACTGGGATTACAAACACATACCACTATATCCAGCTTTTTAGTGGGTTCTGGTGATTAAATTCAAGTCCTCATGCTTGCATAGCAAGCACCTTACCAACCAAGCTATCCCTTCAGCCCCCTCAAAAGATTGGAATGGGGACATCTGTCTTGGATCTGGTCTCTCGCCTAGGTCAACATTCAGTCAGCAAGGCAGAAGGTATGAATTGAATGGTGCTAGTGGATCTACAACAAAAACATTAAGATTTCTTCCTGAGCTTGGTAGAGACTTGATATATATGGAAAAATTAAACCTGGATAAAAATTAAAATCATTCATGAAGATTTTAAAAAGTGAAAAATGCCCTGTTTTAATTCTCAGACTCGTGGTTTAATTTGTTTGGAGTGAAGTCCAAGCATCTGTATATTAAAATTTTTTCCATGTAACTAATCGTAGCCAGCTTTCAAAACGAGTGAATTAGAAAATTTAAGTGTTTCATTATGTAAATGAAATAAACGTTTGGAAAAGGGAAGGAAACCTGTATTTCCACAGACTTAGCAGAGTTAAATTTCAAGGACAATACACAGTTCTAGGTTTTCTGTGCTAAGAGTTGACACAGATACACATTTTAATTTCCTTGGTTTTTCACTGAGATAGGTTTTTTAAAAATTTATGGGGTACTCACTTCGGTAGCACATATACTAAAATTGGAACAATACAGAGAAGATTAGTGTGGCCCCTGTGCAAGGATGACACTCAAATTTGTGAAGTGTTCCATATTTAAAAAAAAAAAAATTATGGGGCTGGAAAGTTGGCTCAGTGGTTAAGAGAGGACCTGGGTTCAGTTCCCAGCACCCACATGGCAGCTAACAACTATCTGTAACTTCAGTTCCAGGGGACCTAATGCCCTCTTCTGACCTCTGTGGGCATTGTGTGACATAAGTACATTTACATACATGTAGGCAATACATGTATAAAATAAAATAAATAAATAAATTTTTTTTGGTCTTTTTGAGACAGGGTCTCCCTGTAGCCCCAGCTGACCTGGAACTCACTGTGTAGACTAGGCTATCTTTGAACTCACAGAGATTCCTCTGCCTCCCAAGTACTGGGATTAAAGGTGTGCCTTTCCACGCCCAGCGAAATAATTTTAAAAATTTATTACTTATTTATGCCTGTGTCTTTGTGTCTGTATGCATGTGTGTGCGGGTGCCTGTAGGGGCGAGCAGGGCATCGGATCTCCTGGAGCTGGAATTGCAGGTAGTTATGAGTCACCTGGCGGGTGCTGGAACCAAGCTGAAGTCCTCTGCAAGAGCAGCAAGCACTCTTAGCCGCTGAGCCATCTCACCAGCCCATCACAGGGATAGTTTTGTAGGCTAAGGCCACACTCAGCTGGAACAGCTAACTGCAGGAGAGTGAGAATGATGACAGCACATTTTGTTATGTGCAGCATCTACACAGTTGATTGTGAGGCTAGTGCAGGGATGAGACTGTAGAGGAGTCGTGACTTCTGCCAAGCTTGACTTCAGTAACAGGTGCTTTCCTTTTCTACCCTTCCTCTTGGCCTAGGGAGAACCTTCAAAAACTTCCCCAGTTGGCTGCCATCCACCATAACAACTGCATGTATATTGCTCACCACTTGCTGACCCTGGGTCATCAGTTCAGATTACGTCTTGCCCCGGTTCTTTGTGGTGGCACTGCTACTTTTGTGGATCTTGTACCTGGCTTCAGAAGACTTGGTAACTGATACTGCACATTTAGGAAAGCATGTGATTTATACAGCTGCACAGTCTAGTAATTTATGAATGAGGTGGTTTAAAGTTAGGTTATGGTCTTTAGTATTGGAAAGTGGGAGGTCTTCTAATTTGCAAAGGTTTGTAGTATGCAATTCTGTAAAATGAATGCAGTCTTTGTGGAAGCATTGCCTTTTCATGACTGGATGTTATGATACTTTAGCATACTTTATTGCTAGTGTGCATTGAATCCATCACATCAGAGTTCTGTCAGGAGAAAGACACATAAAATCCATATAGTGTCGGCTCTGATGGCATCACTGCTAAGAGCTCACCATGCTAGTACTTGTTCTTTTGTAAACCCCAGGACAGCTCTCTCTTTTACCTTCCTTAAGTTTTGCTTGGAATTACTAAAACTCAAAAGAAGTGAAGTGCAGGGTAGGTTGGTGTGTTCATTATAACAGCGCCCTGAGGAACGTAGAGGCCATCCGGCTCACTTAGCTTTCCCCATCAGTGATGGAACTAGATCAGGATAGGAGGTAGCTCTTCTCTCTACAAGTTATGTCTTAGCTGACTCACATTCTAGGCAAACTATTGAGAAAAATATACTACCCTGAGAGTAGGCTCCGAGAGACTGGCTAAGTGTATTTAGAAGTGACTGTTTTACAGTCAGAATGCATACATGTGTAAAATTGTCAAAGATTAAATTTAATGAATTTTTAAAGGGATCGTTGCAGTGTCCCTAGAGCAGCTCCTTGATGTTTTGTAGTGTTGTTTCCACACAGAACAGCTGTGTGGTGTATGTTTGTCTCCTCGCCTACCCTCATTTTGCAGTGTAGGATCTAACAGGTTCTGTAGTTCTTTGTTTTCCCATTACAGGAACAGAGTGTTTTTTGGCTCAAATGCGGGCACAGAAAGGTGAACTTCTGGAAAGATTATCAAGTGCTAGGAGTTTTTCAAACATGGATGATGAAGAGAATTATTCTGCAGCATGTAAAGCAATCCGGCAGGTGGGAGGCTGTCACAAGCCCTGAAATTGGTCTCTCTCTTTAGATGCCCTCACCCTACCTAGAAGCTGATTCCTTACACTGTCTATTGGAAAATCTAGATACCTTCTTCAGCCATGTTTAAGAACTTTCTCTGTACAACCAGGATAATTGGAAACTGTCTTTACATTGTCTCAGTAGTGGTGTTAATCCATGAACTAGTATGTGGGAAATTTAATCCAACTGTGAACCTAAAAATTTACAGCCACTTTTGAAAGAGATATATCCTTGCTCTGGAAATTGTTATTGAATATGTTAATGCTGTAATGAAATGCTTCTTCTAATCAAGTGGTTATTAAATTAAAAAAAAATACATCACTGGATACAGAAATACAATGTTAAGAAAAAATGTAGCCTCTCATCAAGTGATTCCTCCTCCCATTGGTGTGTACTCAGTGTATGTGGTGCTGGGTTGTAGGAGGGCGTCTCCCTACAGTATAGTACTCCCACCCCCAGCCTTCCCTTTGTTCCTTAGACAGCTTTGCTTTGCCTTTGTGGCATATACACATATTTTATGGGTCTACATCTGTGACCCAAAATGAGAGAAAACATGATACTTGACTTTCTGAGACAGGCTTAATTTATGGAAAATAATTGTCTCTCCACTTGCATTCATTTTCTTGCCAACAACATAACTTCATTTTTTGTGGCTGAAAAAAGTTCCATTATGTCTGTATGTTAGATTGTATTTACTGCTTCCTCTGTGGGTTTGCCTTTTTACTGCAGTTTTCCTGTCTTCAGGATGAGTGCTTTTCTTCTCAAGGCTGTCACCAAGGTTAATTAAATTCAGGAGGCATAGAGTGCTGGAGACCTTCCTTTTACATAACCTCTCTTTCTTTGCACACATAAAATGGTACATGTAAATCTAGAAAATGTGAATTGTAGTCATCTCTTGTGTGTAAATAGCTGCATTCTTCCGACAGGTCCTGCACCAGCTGAAGAGACTTGGGATTGTGTGGCAGGGTGTCCTGCCAGTGAGTATATATTGCAAGGCAATGGGGACTTTACTAAATACGGCCATTTCTGAGGTTATTGGCAAAATTACTGCTCTAGAGGTAAGGGCCATTAGATTTTTCACCAGGCTTGAGATGCAAGTCTTACCCTATGTTGTGACTTTATTAAGAAAGTGATGCGGAAGTCTCATTTTTAAACAGTGCAGATGGTGAAAATTATCCATGTTTCATGTCTAGCTCACATTGTTATGTTTGTCTTGTCCTAATTCTGTTTTTCTGAAGACTTGTTACTCTCTCTATACCTAGGTATGAAAATGGGTACTGCTTCTCAGTCTAGCAACTAAATTATGAACTAGGAAATTAGAAACTAGGCAGTGGTCCCAAGATGTATTATTTAGTGTGGAGTCATTTACTTTGCAGATAAACTAATTTCATAAAATGAACACAGCCTGTACAAGTACCACTTTGCCAACGCACTGTACAATTGAGTGTACTGTGTGTGATCCTACAAAGAAAATTGCCCAGACTTGGCTAGCTAATACCTCAAAAGCATACACCGACAAAGCCTTTATCTGTAGTAGTAATATTCCCTCAGTCGCAGCAAGCTGTACCACATTCTGCTGGAGACATGGGTTCTTTTATGCAGGTGCACTAAATTACTGGCAATCTGTTCAAACATATTTTGTGTCATTTTACATTCAGGGATATTTTCAGAGAGCTGATGAATCCAGTGTCTGGGAAGGTATACTAAACTGGTTAGAAAACATAATGTCCCTGACTTCACCTGGACAGCTTGCACCAACCATCTCCCCTGCCATTGCCTACAACTAAGCTGACTATTCTGTTATGTTTGCTTTTTACAAAACTAGGATATTTCTACTGAGGATGGTGATAGATTGTATTCCTTATGCAAAGCAGTGATGGATGAAGGACCTCAAGTATTTGCACCTCTCTCTGATGAAAACAAGAACAAGAAATACCAAGAAGAGGTTCCAATCTATGTGTCAAAATGGATGCCTTTCAAGGAATTGATGCTAATGCTACAAGCTAGCTTGCAAGAAATTGGAGATCGGTGCGTTTATATTTTCTATAATAGGACTGTCAATTGTAGTGCCTGCCTGTACCCTCTGATGAGGGTTATTGAACCCAGAGTCTTATGCATGGTAGGCAGGTCCTCCACCACTGTTACATCTCTGGCCCTTCTGTTTCCTAATATTGCTCAGTTTCTTGTTTAGTAGCAGTACAGGGGCCTTTTTTGCTATCTGTCGTAGTACAGAGCTCACTCATACTTTTCACTCATTATTTTGATTGAACATGTGACATAGTACAAATGCTCTGGCATTTATAATGAATACATTCTTCTTACCTGGATTGAAGTTTTTGCTCATTTAGTGGATGATGCATTTTAACAATGATTTGATCCCTGGCACTGCAATTAAAAAAAAACAAAAACAAAAAACCACTTAGCAGAGAAGTGATTTATTATTTAAAATATTCAACATCAAACCATTTTTTTTTTTATTAACTAGTATTTCTGTAGGGAGTGCAGTAGTGTAAGATTAAGCATTATGTTTAAGAGTGTTTATTTAGTGTCTGTGCCTCCATGTATGTAAGTATGCCTATGTATGTAATGCCTGTAGGGGCCAGAAGAGGGCGTTGAATAACCTGGACTGGAGTTATGGGTGGTTGTTAGCTGCCATGTGGGTGTTGGGAGCCAAACCTGGGTCCTCTGCAAGAATAGCCAGTGCTCTTAACTGCTGAGCCATCTCTCTAGTCCCTGTTGTTCATTTTAAAAAAATGTTTATCCAACCCAAGGCTTAAGAGAGTATAATCATAATTATCAAATTCAGAGTAGAGATTGAGCCTTACCCTCATGTCTAGTCTCCTGGCTGTGCTGATGCCAGATGCAGCCGGGGGCAGAGACATGAGAAGTGGATGGGTAGAGCTCTAAAGAGGGAGGATACTCAGGATTTATTTCCGTTTAAGCATTTGGATAAAGAAATTTAAAAATCTCGCTTATGCACGGAGACATGATAGCAAATAGAATTCTGTCTTCTGTTTTGCAGGTGGGCAGATGGCAAGGGACCCCTGGCAACTGCCTTCTCCTCCAGTGAAGTCAAATCTTTAATCCGTGCCTTGTTCCAGAACACAGAAAGAAGAGCGGCTGCCCTTGCTAAGATTAAATAGTGGTGCCTTCCTGAGAAAGCCTTCTCTTGACTGTGGATTCCCCCTTTGGTGTAGTTATTCCCTTAAACTTCTTGGAATTGCCCATTGGTTTTGGTGAACCAATGTATCAATGGAAGTTTGGCTTCACACAGAACTTCTTACCTCCTGGTCTATTGAAACTTTTTTGAAGAACTGGATATTAAGATAGGATATCTGTTTGATTCCCAGCACCAGGGGTGGTGCAGGGAAACAGAAGAAAAGTCCAGTGATACAGCTCAGTTGATTGACTTTGTCCCTCTCTCCCTCACTAAATATGCAACTGCTGCTTCAGGGGCCCTTGAGAACTGTATACATTGTAATTTTAGACCGTGGCTTTGGAGATTCCAAAGTTAGGATACAGAATTGGTGAGATTTCTTATTTTTATTTTTTGTGGGGTCTAGGGACACCTTATTTGGCCTTGTGGGCATTAGGGTGACCTCTTGTAATATTTCTTTCCAGTAAATAATGACTTTGAGAGATAAGAGTAAGTGTCTTTAATAACATAAGCTCTGGAAAAGAGAAAAATCAAATTTTCTTTTTTTTTAAAGATTTATTTTTATGTGTATGAGTATTGTGCCTGCATGTACGTGGACCATGTATATGCTTCATGCTAAGAGGCCAGAAGAGAGGGTATCGGATACCATGGAACTAGAGTTGTGAACCACCATGAGGGTGCTGGGAACTCAACCCAGGTCCTCTGCAAGAGCAGCCAGTGCTCATAACTACGCAGCCATCTCCTGCCCTGAAAACCAAATTTTCTTACGTGTTTTTCTTTTTATTGACGTTCATGGCCCTCATCGAAGGCCCCTGGACTTGTCTGTTTCTGAGATAGGGTCTGGCTGTGTGGTTTGGGCTGGCCTTGCACTCTTAGTCCTCCCCTCAGTCTTCCCAAGTGCTACAGTTGTGAGAGTGATCCACCATGACAGGCCACCACCTTCCTAAGACTGCTCATATTTCTCAGAAGTCCTTTTGTCATGTTTTGCTGTTGCAGCTAAATTTTGTTTCGTTGGTGGGATTCCTTGCCCCTCATTCTGAAGTACCATTCTTTCTGTGCCTTGTCAAATGTAAAGACTATAAATTGCCAGTATTCCTTTGGATTGTATGTGCATAAGATCCATCACTAGGTTGTGTGACCCAGGCCATTATTTGTTGCACATAGGTGCTCTTTATTTTGCATATGTGTATGTGTATGGTGTGTATGTGTGTGTGTTCATGTGTGTTGAGGCCAGAGATTGCTGTTGAGTGTCCTCCTTGGTCGCTATCTCATATATGGAAGCAGTGCTCTCCCTTGAACTAGGAGCTCACAAATTAGCTAGTCTAGCTAGCCAGCTTGTTCTGAGGATCCTGTCTCCGCCTCCCAAGCGCTGGGGTTGCAGGTGGGACTCCATGTCTGCCCGGCATTGGTATGAGTGCTGAGGCTTCAGCCCCTGGTCCTCACACTTGCATAGAAGCACTTCACCTACTGAGGAGTTTCCCCAGCGCATAGATGGTCTTTCAGATTAGCTTTGTTTTTACTTTGTAGTCTTCAGAGGTATATTTATGTTCTCCTGGGTTGTAGTCTAGGCTGTACCTCTTCCTCTTACAGTTTCCCTTTCAGAAAAGGCGAGAGGTGTGCTCTTTATGTGCTTTCCAGCAGGTGCTCTCCAAGGATGACCAGTGCGGTGGGCTTGCTGTACTCTGCAGTGTCAAATTGTTTTTCCTCCTGTCTTCCAATATTCTCTGCCTTCGCCCTCCTGTAGTCCTGATTCAGTCCCTTTAATCAAGTAAGTCCTGTTTGTTTAGGCTTTCTTTTCACAGAACTAATTTTAAAAGACTTTTTAAAACAAAACAAAGCTATCGACATTCTTTGTACTGTGCATGTGGGATGGATGGTCTGAACCAGCTGTGGCTTTTTCTTTTAGGAATAAAGAAGTGGGCTTTTTCGAGAGGCGGGACCGTTTGTACAGGTGAAGAAAAGACCTGTTTTTGAAAATTCACACAATTTGCGGTAGCATTCTTTTCTCAGCAATTGAGAGAATGAGGAGCCAGGGGGAAAGAACTGAACTAAATACTTCATGGGCTGTTACAAGGAACAGATTGCTTTTGTTCGTAGAAGCTATTCCTGTTGCTTGACAGGTACAGCAGTTTGGAGGTGGATCTCAGAACTGAAAACCATGCTTCTCATTCCTGCCCTCCCTTCAGTTACACAGAAAACCTTATAGTTCCTTGGTTGCTCAGTCCTCGGGGACTGTTTCCCCTCATGAGTGGTTTGTACGCTTTGGCACACAAACTTCATCCTCCCTGACCAATGAGTTGATAGCTGGTAAGTCAGTGTTCATTCTGGTTAGGGATGAATCATCTGATTGGACACATGGCAGTTGTAGTCTGATCTCTCTCATGTGGCCCTGGAAGCACCTGTTCTGATTGGGCACCTGATTCACATGGCAGTAGAACCCTTTAGAAAGCCTGTCCGTTATGGGAGTGAGGGATCTGTGACCAAGTGGGAGAAACTTCTTACCAAAGAATAACCAGGATTGTACAAATGGCCTTGAAAAATGAAATTCAAGAAGGCTTTCCCAAGATGGTTACAAACAGGAAAGTTGTTCAAATGGTAAGACCTAAACCTGAGGTGATTTGATAGAAATCTTGAATTTCTGACCAGACCCATGGTCAGTGTTAGAAAAGGATTTCTCTAAAATGGAGATCCTCCAGGTGGCACTGTTTCCTCAGGCAGAACGTCTCAAAACCTCTAGCCAGGTTGGGGGGAGGGGGGATGGAAGCTGGGGAGCCTATCCATTTCTACCTTGAATAAATAGTTTAGCCTCAGGCAGCCCTGGGAAGGTCATCTAGACTCCCAGTGGCACTTACACTGTAAGCTCCAGTCCATTGCCGGACAATTACTTGTGAATAGATCAAACTAATAACATTGTTGAAGTCGAGATGGATAATCCCCTTCTCATGCTTGCAAATGCTTAGGGTTTGAGGTGATGATTTCCCAGCTTTTTGTGAGATTTTATTCTGCTTCTGATTTCCCCAAATTTTGTCTTGAAAGGACTGAGTGGAGCACACACCTAGAATACTTTTGAGATCATAAAAACCGTGCCCCAAACAGGTAGTTTGTCCTAGTTGCAGTCCTGTGCAGTGAAGGTGTGCATAGGACAGACTTGGTGGTGGAAGGTGGCTATGAATACTGAAGGAAGCCCACCGGCTATTGCTTTGTTTGCAGTGTCTTCACACACTTAAGTGGTCTTCTGACGGGTTCCGATGCCTACAGTCTCCCCAACCATAAAACTGATTTTGAACATTTGTCATCCAAAATTTCCCAAAAAATCATAAAGCCCTAGTTTTGAGAAAATTTTGAATCATATTTGTCTAAATGGTATGTGTCCTGGTTTGTTTCTTCATTGCTGTGACAAAACACTCTGACCAATACCCACTTGGGCAGGAAAGGGTTTATTTAGCTTACAACTTCCGGGTTGCAGTTCATCAGGGAGCCCAAGGTAGGAACTCAGGACAGGAATCTGGAAGCAGGAACTGGAGCACAGGCCAAGGAGGAACGCTGCTTACTGGCTTGCTCTCCTGGCCCCTGCTCAGCCTGCTTTCTTATGCACCACAGGCCCACTTGCACAGGGGTGGCACCCACAGTGTGGGCTGGGCTGGGCCCTCCCACATCACTCATCAAGAAGATGCCTCTCAGACATGGCCACAGGCCAGTCCAATAGAGGAAATTCCTCAATTGAGGCTCCCTCAACCCAGGTGTGTCAAGTTGACACTAAAGCTATCCAGCACAGTATGTTATAGACAAATTCCTTTGTTGGGAGGAGTTTGGTTAAGAATTTTGTGATATCATAAGCTATTATAGTCAGAAATAGCTTTAAATGTCTTCAAGTTATGAAATCTCTATTTAGAGGTTAGGGAGGAAGGCAGTACCTGACAAGCTATGTTAAGCTCTTCACTCAGAATCAGCTGTCCTAGTTCTTTTGTTGAGTGCAAGAGTTGGTAGTAGTAAATGGGTCTTCACTACTCCCACTATTGGAAGAGATCGGTTACTGAGGCCAGCAGCATCCGCTCCTCCCCCATACCATAGGCTCATGACCCTGCATTTATTGGGTAGCAGGCATTGTTCTAATCACTAAATAGAACTCTCCAGAACAAAGTTCCCTGCCCTTTGGTAATTGAAAGTTTAGTGACAAAGACAAATAAGTCAATTGGTATGTTTAAAGGTGCTCTGCTGCAGAAAAAGATGCTTGTAGGGTGCTGAGGAGTCGTAGTTGCAGTTCTGAACAGGGTGATGAATGAATGCACTGCTTTGAGAAGGTAAGTGAGTCTTGTGGAGATCTAGATAGTGACAATTAAGCTTCTCTTACAAAGCTCTAAGGTGGGAAGAACTCATTAACAATGAAGAGGGAGGGACCAAGGAGCTGAGGCAGCAGAAGAGGGGCAAGGCAGTATTAAGGGCCCTATGGGCCACTGTCAGCATTCTGGTATTTTTCTTTTTACTTGAATCAATTGGGGAGTGTCTAGTGGTTTAAAAGAAAGAAACAAAATACGTGAAAGCATAAATAGTATGAACCTCTGTGTACTTCCATCACCCAGCTTCAAAATTGCCTCATGCCCATAATGTTCCTTCCTCCTCTGCCCTTGGGGACACATTGGATCTTTGAAGCAAATGCCAGGCAGAGTATTTCAAACTTGGGGCTCATTCCATAGTCTGTAAGCTTTGTTTCTTGTGAAGCAGCCTCTCATTACTTCCCTCGCCTCTGTCCCTGTGAGCTGCCGGCTGCCAGCATCCCTCAGTCTCTTCCATCTCAGTTACCCAGCTCACCCTTGATGCACTCATTCGCTGAGCATGGGTGTTAAGTAACAACTCAATGAACAGCTGACGCACCCAGCTTCTGCTTTGTCTCCTTTCTTCCTTAGTCCCTTACTCCAGCTAACCCAGTCCCATTGTTTACAAAAGGTTCAAAGGTTTACAAAAACCCCTTTCTCATGTTGGTTTAGAATCTTGCTTGTCTCCTGAGAAGCAGATTTTACTGGGTTACTTTTACAGAAAATCCCAGAAGATGTGTGGTGGTTTGAATGAGAAATGTTCTCCATGGGCTTAGGTATTTGACACACTTGGTTCCAGGTTGGTTAGCCCTGTTTGAGGAAGTTATGGAACCTTCAGGAAGTGTATCACTGGGGGAGGGCTTTGAGAGTTTCTATCCTCATCCCACTTCTCCTTTGCTCTCTCTGCCTCCAGTGTGGGGTTGAGATGTGATCTTTCAGTTTCCTCCTACTACCGCTGGCTTCCCCATTGTGGACATCTAGCCCTCTGGAACCATAAGCCAAAATAACCTTTCTTCTGTAAAGTGCTTCTGGTCATGGTGTTTTATTTACAGCAACACAAAAGTAACTAATATAACATGGTTACCTAGCTCAGCTGTTGAGTCCTAGGACTGGGTGGTTTTTGGAGTCTGGTATTAAGATTTAAGGTACAGCAACCCCTTCCTAAGGTTGATCTGTTTGGCATGTTGGCAAATGGAGTGGCTCCTGGCTGCTGCCATTCTATGCTTTTAGAAAAACTGCCTTGAAAGACCATTAGCTGTTTTCATTTACAGGAAAGGCTTCATTTGTGCTTGATGACAATGCTGTTGATAAAATATGATTAATATTAAATATGGCACTAACGTTTTTACAAATTCCATTTTAGTAGTGAGTTCTGTTCCTAAATGCAGCCTAAATATACTGCCATATCTGTACTTACATTATTGTTTTAAAAAATTAGAATGTTTCCTTACCAATTGTAATTTGGGCTCTTTTGTACAATTGACTTCAATTGCATTGGTCTGAAATTGCAGATTTTTTTGAAAGAACTTTTTGAAAATGAGGGCACTTGCTCATCTCAAGGACTATGTAGTGGTTTTTTTTTTTATTACATCTGCAGTTTCTTTTATTTGCAAGTCCCATGAGATAGAATTGATTTGGGTCTAGAATCGTGAACTCATTTAAAACCCAGGCTTTCTTTTTCTATCTTTAACTATCTTAGGCTTTATATTTTAACTGCATTTTAGCTTTTAACTACATTTGTTCTATCATGTCCAGATTGCAAAGAATTTGCTTTGATAGGGAATATGGAATCTGCAGTTTCTTTTATTT